GCCTCTGGCTCCTTTGTCCAATTCGGGTGAAACTGAATATCCAGTGATGACATGCAAATGGCCTCACCAAAAAGCCGGGTGAAGGAGGACAACATTCAGGGCTTATCCTGTCAAATTGGGCCAGTTTTCAGGATAGGCAGCTGTCAAGGAGGTGCCCAAAAACCTCTCAATGTCCCCAGCGGCTACATAATTCCACCGCTGCCGTTTCGGGTTACCGGAGGTCTCCGGCGCCTTGCCTCGGAACAGCAACCCCAGCATGCCAAGGGGCATATCCTGCTTCGGGTAGGCGCTGCCTAGTTTGGCTTGCATGCCCCTCACCAGGCAACTGGCTGTTGCGCTCTCTTGATATATCCACATGGCGTCCACGATTTCCGTTTTAGAAAAAGTGGGCGACAGCACCGCCATGTAGGGGTATGTTCTGATCCGCTGCCCCTTCCACCAGGCCAGCATGACTGTTTGTTGGTTTGGTAGCATTCTCCTGCGGCACCTTCTCCACAACACCGCGGCGGGCCGTAGAGCCCCTTTTGGCAGTCCCAGCAGCTCGTGGGGCTCGCTGTACTTGGCCTCATAGCATCGAAGGCACAGAGCGACCAGCACGACGGTCTCCCAGTCTTGGCCGCTCTCAACCTTTCCCGACCAGCTCGGGAGCTCCTTGATCCATGCACCAACCTGTTTCCAACCCAGGTGGCAGCACATACCCCTTTTGCCAATGAAGAACTCTGACAGAAAAGTCTTGGCTAGGATTGGCAGCTCCTCCGACTTTGCAGCAGGTAGGATATCCCGGAACCGCCCTTCAAGGTCGAAGCCATCAGTCTTGACCGAGTAGATCAGGGATGGGATGTAGACGGCCTCCAACGGTGTCAAGGCAGTACAGCCCCCATCCATGGCCCTTAGCTGCTGCATGCGCGTACAGATGATTGATCCTCCTCGTCTACAAGACTATACCATGAGTGAGAGATCAATAGTTTCACAATTGTTCCGCGTGTACATAGCGTTGTACATCACCCTTTGATACAATTAGGTATCCAAAAAGAAGCAGTACATAGTGTTTCCTATTTCGAAGGCCAAGACATCTGTTTTGTGTTCTGTTTTTCAGACCATTGATCTCCCGCAACATTTGGCTCAAGGGCCCTTTTTACATAATCACGACCATCCGAGCGTGAGGACAAAAGAGCCATTGCAGGCCGCTTACAGGATTATCCACAAGACAATCCACCAGGGCATATTGGACTCTCTCCGGAATAGATCCAGGGACCAACAACGACCTCAAGTATCACAGGGTTCGTTCCCTCCAAGGATAGGCACCTGGGGCAGTGTGCCTCAAGCCCCCCCCCAACCCCCCGCTACTTTTTTAGATTTCTTGTAGAGATTGAATTGCATTCCTATTGGAATCATCACTTCTTGCTGCAAAATACGATATTTTAGGTAATCTGTGTAATCCATGTATGTCTGTACTTCTTCGAACATCATAGGGGAAGCCACCCCCGCCAACCTCCCCCTGCCTTTTAAATTCTATCGCACCCGTTCTTGAATCATTGCACCCCTACTTGAATCATCACTTCTTCGAACATCATGGGGGCGGCAGCCGCCCCCCCCAACCCTTTGCACCCCTCTCTGAATCATCACTCTTGGAACATCATGGGGGGGCAGCCCCCCCAACCCCCTCGCTACTTTTTAGATTTTTTGCAGAGCTATTCGAATCATCACTTCTGCGAACATCATGGGGGGGGCTGCCGCCCCCTCCAACCCCCCCGCGACTTTTAGTTGTTTTTATAGGGATTGAAACGCCCTCCTATTCGAATCATCATTTTTTGCCCCCGTCAACCCGCCAGTGATTTTGATACCCACGATTTGTTGGTGACGCTAGGGATGTTGGTCGGACATGCGGGGGATGTTGAAAACGATTGACGGGCTAGTGTAAAATGCGTCAATTTCGCGAGAAAATGCTGCACAATAAGACATTTTACTGGTCCGGACGAAAAACGAAAAAAATCCCAAAGAAATCCGGGAAAAATCAAAAATAAATCCGCACCCTTTGTCATTTGCGTGGACAAGATCGAATCTGAGAAGGACCATACATTCGCCTTGTTTGAGTGCTTGCTGGTCTGAGACATGTTGTTTCGCAACTTAATACCGAATTGGAATTTAGCACGATTTGCGTCGACTGCTGCTGTTATGTTTGTTTGGGCCATCCCCGTCCCATATGACCACTTTGGCAAACGCGGGCTCGTCATGTGCATTGATGCAACTGCTCGTCTAGGCAAAATCTCTCAACACCAGGTTTGTTTCTGCAACCCATTTTGCCTTTCCCGCAGTCGGGCGCATCACACAGAAGAAATTGCGCGCAGCGTTTGCTGATGCTATTGTGGCCACAGCACTTCTTAAGCACGGGCTGCGTGGCTTGGCTGGGCTACTTAGCTCGCCTTGGCGGGACCTTGCTTGGCTCGGCGGTGCCTGTCAAACCTGACGGCTGGCTTCAAAGGGGGCTATGGTTATGGCCCTTTGTTTGGCTTGTGCTGTCTGACACAACTCCAACTAAATTAAACGTCACATGCAAATGTCCTTTCAGCAGGAAGCCTTGACCACTTAGGGACTCATGCCCCTTCTTCTTCAGTGCTGACCTTAATCTTTCGCTTTGGTGTGCGTGCGTGCGTGCGTGCGTGCGTGCGTGCGTGCGTGCGTGCGTGCGTGCGTGCGTGCGGTGCGTGCGTTGCGTGGTTGTGTGTGTTGTGTGTTGTGTGTGTGTGTGTGTGTGTGTGTGTGTGTGTGTGTGTGTGTGTGTGTGTGTGTGTGTGTGTGTGTGTGTGTGTGTGTGTGTGTGTGTGTGTGTGTGTGTGTGTGTGTGTGTGTGTGTGTGTGTGTGTGTGTGTGTGGTGTGTGTGTGTGTGTGTGTGTGTGTGTGTGTGTGTGTGTGTGTGTGTGTGTGTGTGTGTGTGTGTGTGTGTGTGTGTGTGTGTGTGTGTGTGTGTGTGTGTGTGTGTGTGTGTGTGTGTGTGTGTGTGTGTGTGTGTGTGTGTGTGTGTGTGTGTGTGTGTGTGTGTGTGTGTGTGTGTGTGTGTGTGTGTGTGTGTGTGTGTGTGTGTGTGTGTGTGTGTGTGTGTGTGTGTGTGTGTGTGTGTGTGTGTGTGTGTGTGTGTGTGTGTGTTTGTGGTGTTTGTGTGTGTGTTTGTGTGCGTGTGTGTTTGAGTGTGTTTGTGTGTGTGTTTTTGTGTGTTTGTGTGTGTGTTTGTGTGTGTTTGTGCGTTTGTGCGAACTACGCGCCCGGCGCCCTGCGGGCGTCGGACAGCACGTCGCCCTCGGGCGGCGCGCTGGCATACACGGTCAGCGCGCTGTTGACGGGGAGCTCGCAGAGGCTGCTTGCGAACGCGGTTTGGGCCGCAATCGCGAGCATCTTCCACCTGTGCGCGTACGCGGCCGCGACCGCGCCGCGCTGCGCCGCGGGGCTGGCGAGAGCCCGGCCACAGGCGAGCTTCTGCAGGAAAGCCTCAGTCTCCTCTCCCCAGCGGCCGCCTACTTCTGCAGCGAACACGATGAGGCGGCATCGCCGCGCCTCCTGGAACTCGGGGTAAGTGGCGCGACGCTTGCGCTCGGTCGCCTCCCGCAAGGCGAGGCCAAGCTCAGAGTCAGCCCGTGGGCGGCTGCTGCCGTCACGCCGGAGGGGGCTCACAAACGTGACGTCAACCGCGACCTGGATTCCTCCGAAGGCGGGAAGGCCATGCGGCCATTCGCGACAACCTCCAGCCGGCGCCCGTCAGAAACGGGCACCCCGAGGTTCAAGTCGCGAAGGGCGACGTTGGTCGCAACCCGGGCGCAGCGCGCTCGAACGGGCGAGCGCGCCGGACCAGGACCCCCGCGGTGGCGCAAGCAGCGCGGTGGTCACCGAGCCCGTCAAGTTCCCCGCCACAACGGCACAGCCGCGACGACAGCGGCAGTGGGAGTCGCAATCGCCGCAGCAGGACGCAGCGGGCGACGTCGTCCGGCATGGTAAACTCTTCGCGCGTTGGCAAGGTGGTGAGAACAACACTGCCGTCCGACCCCGCTTGAGACAGCAGCAATGCCCGAGACGCCGAATCGAGGTCGGAAAGTAGCGTCTCGAGGGCACGCTGGTTCAAACAGGAGCACGCGGCTTGCTGCCATCCACGCGCAACATCCCCGAAGTGGGACACGTCACTTGCCTGCGCTGCGTCAACCAGGGCTGCCCACGGTGGAGCCGTGAAGCCGGCCGCGCGCAAAGTAGCCTCCGCGTGCGCAGCTGCCCGCGTACATGGCGGGCCCAGGGCACCATGTGGATCAGCCAAGCCGGGCAGCAGCCGCGCCAATCACCAGCATAGAGTCGGCCCAAGATGCCCAGTGAGCCGCGACACGGGACGCGACTGCGGAGCGGAGGCCCAGCCCGCCGAATCGCAGTGGGAGTTGCGCTCGCCGGAGCGCGAGCTCAGGCAGCACTAGCGGCTCGCCCTGCCCCAAAGCAATCGCTCCAGGCACCTGGCAACTGCTCGGTCGTGTGCCTCCGCGAACCCTCCGGTGTCGCCTGGTGGCAGCACGGGGAGCAAGTAGTTGCAGCGCGGTTGGGCGCACAGCAGCAGGAGCAACCACGCGTTTTGCACGTGGGGCACACACGGTATGCGGTCCAGCAAGACCGCTTGCTTTTCACGGACGGACGCTCTCCAACGACTCGGGTCACGTACGCTGCGTGCCCGAGAGGTGTGCCCAGAACGGTAATGCCCTGCGTCACTGGCGCCCGCGCCCAGCTGCCTACTCAGGCGTCCGCGCGGGCGGCGGCGGGGAGACGGTCCAACAACGTGCTGGGCTCTTCGCCTGCTGCATTCCATGCCCGCGTTTTACCCAAGTGCACGCGGACATTCGCGCGTTCCCATAGCGCCCCCCCAAGAGCCTTTAGCGCCCCCCTTGAAGGCAGTTGGGTTGGGCGCGTGAAACAAAACAGCTACGGTGCGCGGGGCTACCCGCAACGCGCGAACGCTGCCACGCCGGCGCGTCGTTTACAAACGCGGTGGCAACATAGTCGTGGACACCCGTGCCGGCATCATCGGCTGCCAGGGGCGCACAGCCCGCAGCTTTTTGCTGGTCGTTTCGTTTTTGGTACTTGCCGACGTCGACTTGACCTCGTGCCGTTGCGCCTCAAGTGCCCCAGGCACGCTTTTTATGTAGGCCATTCCAAGTGACGGCAGAGCTTCCCGCACATCACCGCCACTCTTGGGATGCTTGGTCAAGAAATTTCATGGGTTTTCGGTGCCTGAGCACGAGCTTCCCACATTGCACAGCTCCTTGCACGTAGAACTCACACACCTCCAAGTGCCTCAGTTTGGTTCCAGGGCCGATCTTCTTGCCAGCTTGGATTCCAGATGAGCTGTCGCTCCATACCTTTGGTTTGGTGACTGGTAGACAGAAATCCAGCTCGGCAAGTTCATGCAAGAACAACGCTTCTCGGGCTGCTCTTGACACTCCTCGCAACTCAGCATCTGGACTGCTCGTTGCTGGCAGTCCCGGCTGGGTTTGTGTGGTGACTTGCACCACCGCCCCGCCAACCACAGCTACATGTGAGTCTGTGGAGCGTCGGCTCTCAAGGCAACCTGCCCAATCGGAATCGCTGAACACATCGATGCTCAGCGGCCCTTGTTTCTGTGTGGGGTCGAGAGTCATGACGCGGACGAAGCTGAGATGCGACTGCAAGTAGGCAGCCAGTGTGGCGGCCGCCTGCCAGTCGCACTCGCGAGGGCGAGCCATGCGTCTGGCAAGCTCCTTTGTAGCATATTGAACATCCCGTCGATCTGCTGACAAGAATATTGCACTGCCCACGGCTGAGCGATATTTTGCAGTTCGCTCGCCATCCAGTTCCTCTTTCTGAGTGAGGTCTAGTGGTTTGGAAGGCACTTGCGACTTGTCCCCGGGTTGCAACCCAAGGGCTGCAATGACATTGCGGGCATGTTTTTCATCTGGGACTGTCAGTATGGCGTCCTCAAGACGAATCTTGGGACGGCCCAGCACTTCAACTGCGATGCCTTGGCTCTCAAGTGGCCCAGCCTCAATTTCACAGTGTTTGGGGATTTCCTCATCAATGAAGTAGTTGATTTGGTTGTCTGGGCCTACGCACCGAATGTCATCGATGTGGTGAAGCAACGTGACATCCGTGCGACTGCAGTAGTACACGCATGGGTCTTTGACGCCTCGCTTGAACTCGAAGCGGGGTCGGAGCTTCCCGAGCACCTCTTCAAGTTCATCCCTGTAAACACTGCCGGCTGTCCGACGACCATAAAGGTCTCCGTCAAGCCGAAGCCAAACGTCACGAAAGCGCGTCTTGTACAGCTCCCGCTCTGCCTTTGGAAGTTGGTCGGACCACTCAACAAAGATGTCCCACCACTCTGGCGGCGCTCGAATGTACACCGGCTTTCCTTGCTGAGCCCCACGGTCCGTCCCGATCAGGAATGCGGCAACTATGGGAACAAACACGTTCATGTCTTGTTCCTGCTCAGGACTGTATCTGGCTTTGACATCTGCACAGGTGAACCTGCTCTTGTAGATGCCCCATTGAACACCTGGCTGCCTTTTGGGACTTGTTCCTTTAGGATAGGCGTGAACGCCTTCTTGTCCCAAAGTTTCCTCAATTGGGCCTTGCGCGCTTGTTCGACTTGCGTTGGGTCTAACAGCTGGTCAATGTAGTCAGTGACGTTGCTGATTCTCTGCAACGCAAACGGGTTCTCAGCCTCAGTCGACTTGCCCCATTTGGCAACAAGATCCCAAACTTCCATTTCAGTGAGGCGGCCAAGGCGATTAACCTTGGGCGTCTTGCGCGGGGCTTCCCGCTGCATCTTGCTTGGCTGCTCTCCCTTTACACGTCCATCAGCATTTCGTTTCACGGGCGATGCCCCCCCCTGCACCCAAGCCAGTCGGCGAGGGCATAGATGCTGGGAGCGCGGCAAGAGGTGAGCTCCAGCCGGAACCTCGAAATAAACTACTTTGAGCGGCTTGCGTGCCATCTGCGTTTGCGTTCGCAGGCGTGGTCGGGTCTGCAAGCTCGGGCTGGGCGGCGCTGCCCGCTCCAGCTCCCTCGCTTTCAGGCAGGAGTGCGTCTTCCAACTCCTCAGCTTGCGCATAGCCCTCGACCGCGTTGGCTTCATGGTCGACCCCTGCACCGTCTTGGGCAAGCAACGGGGCAGCAGCATCTTCTCCATCTCCTGGAAGCACACTGGGGCTGAAGTCCGACAGCTGGCTGTCAGGCCGCGATGGCTGCACCGTGGGAAGAGGCAAGACGACAACCTGAGATTTTTCCGGATCCTGCACGCGTACTCGGCGCCCGTGCCTGGGGCCCCACGGCAGGCCACAAGCTTCTTTCATTGTTTGTAGCTGTGCTTGCGCGGGGGCGGGGAGTCTCCGCACACTCCGCACGCTCAAAGCGCCAGCCGGCGTAAGCAGCACGTGAGTATCATCGCGTTCCAGCTTTCCAGCCCAAATGCCTTTGACCCATCGAACTTGAGATTTGGAGCCAGGCTTGGGGAGCTTAGCCATGACAGTCTCGCCGAACTGGAAGATTGGCTGCGTGTAGTCAACGCCGTTCGCCAAGCGAAACGGCGTTTGACCGTCCTTGGTCCGTACCTGAAATCGCGCGGTGAGCAAGGCACTGTGCCGCACCATCCATGGGAACAGGTTGTGGCTGAACATCAAGCTTCTCGTCGGGGTAGCGAGCTCGAATGTCAGCCAGCAAGGTCCTGACCTGACCCGCAATGAACTTGTTCATACTTTCCACAGCGCCCTGTGATTGGTGGGAGCGCGGCGGGGATTCCCGCACGCGAACTCTAGAGGCACCCATGTGCCGTCGAATTGCGTAAGCCACTGAGCGGATTTGGTTTTCCTGATCGATCTGAAGGATCGCCCGGTCATGCCCAAGGTTTTCCAAGTAAAACTCCACGGCTTGTAGTACGTGGGCGCTGTGCTCCAAACCTTTCCGAGGAATGGGCAGCGCAAGGGGGAACCCTGTCACCCTGTCCGTCAAGACCAAGACGGTGACCAATGCTGCCTCATTCTCGACCAGCTCACCATCACGCCCAAAGAACAAATAGTCCATTTGCATTTTCTGAACTCCGGCATCGCAGTCATGACGAGTATGGGGGTTTTCGCGCCCCTTGCCGCTCAGGCAGTCTGGGCACCAAGCCTGGTAAGGCAAGTGTGTGAGCATGTGGCGGGCTCGCTCCTGTGGAGACGGCTCCGCTGTCGACGGCGGGGCTCGCGGCTGAGGATGGCGCACTTCGGCACGTTGTTCCGAAGCGACGGGCTCTTCCTGGTCTTGGCCAGCAAGCTCTGCCCACTCAGCTTGGTCCTCAGCTGCTTGCTGCTCCCTTTGGGCGAACGCTTCAACTTCCTGAGCTTCAACATCGTCCATGGGAATCTCAACCGGGGCAACTCTGCTCTGGGCATTGTCCGAGCCGCCTGAGTTGGTGAGCTCCCTGTATGGCAAAACAAACTGGTTGCCTTCCCGGCGGAAATCCGCTCTTGCTCCATCAGGCCACTCCATCCAGCTTTCCGAAGAGCTGAAATGAAATGTTGCTCCCTGATCCACGGCCCTGTTGATGGACAGGATATCTTCAGAGATGCCATCAACAACCTGGAAAGAGACATGCGCATCCTGAGTCTCGCTATGACCGATTGCCAACCAGGGGCGGGTCTCCCCGCGCACCTGGAGAGCAGTGTCATCGACGGAGTAAAGTTCTTTGCGCTTACTCCGGTCAACTCTTGACTGAAAAACACCTGGTCTGCACACAGATGCGCAAGCCCCAGTATCAACCAGGAGACCACCGGCGCCGACATACGCAACTTGCTGCGGCACATGTGAGTCAGCAGAAGGCTTCGGAGGGCCATCGCGGACGGACAGAAGACGCGAGGCTTGGCCTTGGTCCCTGCTGATGTGCTTCACACTTCTGCTTGGGGCGGTGGTCCCCGCGCTCCCAACGTGCGAAGCCGAAGGTCCGGCTGTGGACACTGTTGAGTCAGCGTCCCCACCAACGTTGGCAACACCCTTACCCTTCTGGTCCTGAGGTTTGCCCTTGCCGTTGGCTTGACCATTGAACCAGCACTCCTGCACCTCATGGCCCTGTCGCCAGCAGATGGGACATCGGTCCTTGTCCTTGCCCTTGTCTGGTTTGCCCCCTTTCCTCTGCGGCTTGTCTTTTCCCTTGTCGTTACCTTTTGCGCTCCGATCCTCCTTGCCTTTTCCCTTCGAGTCTTTGCCCTCCCCAACTTTCCCAACGTCCATTGAGTTGGGGTCTTTACGGAAGGAAGACCCGGCGGCGTACCCCGCGCTGGGCATCCAAACTCTCTTCGCCTGCAAGTACGACACGACTACGTCGCGGACTTGGTTGTACGTGGTCAAGGCTGCCGCGTGCATAGCTAGGTGTTGCCGCAAAGCAGCTGGGGATTCTGTAATCACCACTGCCCGCTTGTCTTCGTCGGAGATGGCTTTATCAGGGCCATACTCCGAAGCGTACCTGTCAAGGTCAGCTTCCCACTCCCGCAAAGCTGAGGAGAAGTCTAACTCGCGGGTTGGAAATTTGGGGGAGAGCAAAGTGCGTCTCCAAATCAACGCTTTGGAATGATTCTCTGGGTGAAACTCGCGCCACAAGAGGCGCCACAGCTCGAACCCGTTTTGGTGCTGAACCCCTCTAGCTAGCTTTACCGCTGCAGGGGATTCCTGCGCCCAGGAAGTGAGCATGCCGAAGAGGCGGATCGACATTCGCCGCGCTTCATCGGTCATGTCTTCAGGGTCAAGAGGTTCCGTGGATCTTCGGGCTGCATCCATTTTATCAGGGTAGTCAGGGTCAATAAGAACAAGAAAGGTTTCCGTTTGGAAAACAAACTTTTCAGTCTTCTGTCCCCTGCAAGGGGCAAGGCGCTTTCACCGCACTTTTCAGCAGGTCTGCGCCTCTGAAAGCACTTTGGCTGCTTGACCGGTTCTGCACATCGATCAAAGCGCCCTGTACTTGCAGCAAAGCCTGCTGCAGCTCGTTCTGACGGGCCTGACTGGCTTCTAGGCTGACGGTGAATGCTTGCCGCATCTCACTTTGACGAGCCTGGCTGGCCTCCAGCGCCTGGCGCATGAGATCCATCTGCCGCATCATCTGCTGCATGACGTCTGCGTCGCTTTGCTGTGGAGTCTGACCTGACATTGTTCAGCTCAGTCTTGCTCCCTCCTGGTTTCTCTTGTGGACAGCTGGCGCTTGGCTCAGCCGCGCTGTCTCCAGGCTCGCGAGCGGGGCAACCCGCTTCGTCGGCAGGAGATGTGGGGGAAGGTTCCTCCTTTGTCCTCGTGGACTTGGCCGGCACGGGCTCGACCTGCAGAGAAATTCCAGTGGTGAAGGAAGTTGACTCACCTGTTCGCTCAGGGCTGGGTGACCAGTCTACGTCCGACCCCGGGTCGTCACCTTGAGCTTGAGCTTGTAGGCGGCAACGCTGTCCTCTGTCCTGCCGCCTTTCCTGTGCGGCTTGGCTGCGCGTCCCACGCCTATTTCTTGGTCGCGGGCCGGCAGTCGAGCTGGCGGCCTCGCGGTCCTGCCAGCTATGCCAGCTATGTTCGGACCAGCCTTGGTCACGCCAGTCCCAGCAAGTAGACCACCAAGTCGTGGTGTTCACAGTCTTGGCACGGGGCTAGCCGCTGCCAAGAAGTTGGCCTTGAAGTTGAAGGACGGCCTTCCAACCCCAAAGCTCGAGCTGTGCGGGGCTGACCGCTACAGCTCCGCTACCATGCAACGGAGGCAGGCAGCTAGCGTATTGGGCTCTTTTCTCTTTGCGCAACTTGGTACAAAAAGGGGCTACAATGGAAAACATATAAAAGCACATTTGGCTCAAACCCCTACTGATCTTCACAAGACAAAGCATGCGCGACAGGCATGAAATCTTAGCAGGCATGGTAAACTCTTCGCGAGTTGGCAAGGTGGTGAGAACAACACTGCCGTCCGACCCCGCTTGAAACAGCAGCAATGCCCGAGACGCCGAATCGAGGTCGGAAAGTAGCGTCTCGAGGGCACGCTGGTTCAAACAGGAGCACGCGGCTTGCTGCCATCCACGCGCAACATCCCCGAAGTGGGACACGTCACTTGCCTGCGCTGCGTCAACCAGGGCTGCCCACGGTGGAGCCGTGAAGCCGGCCGCGCGCAAAGTAGCCTCCGCGTGCGCAGCTGCCCGCGTACATGGCAGGCCCAGGGCACCATGTGGATCAGCCAAGCCGGGCAGCAGCCGCGCCAATCACCAGCATAGAGTCGGCCCAAGATGCCCAGTGAGCCGCGCGACTGCGGAGCGGAGGCCCAGCCCGCCGAATCGCAGTGGGAGTTGCGCTCGCCGGAGCGCGAGCTCAGGCAGCACTAGCGGCTCGCCCTGCCCCAAAGCAATCGCTCCAGGCACCTGGCAACTGCTCGGTTGTGTGCCTCCGCGAACCCTCCGGTGTCGCCTGGTGGCAGCACGTGGAGCAAGTAGTTGCAGCGCGGTTGGGCGCACAGCAGCAGGAGCAACCACGCGTTTTGCACGTGGGGCACACACGGTATGCGGTCCAGCAAGACCGCTTGCTTTTCACGGACGCTCTCCAACGACCCGGGTCACGTACGCTGCGTGCCCGAGAGGTGTGCCCAGAACGGTAATGCCCTGCGTCACTGGCGCCCGCGCCCAGCTGCCTACTCAGGCGTCCGCGCGGGCGGCGGCGGGGAGACGGTCGAACAACGTGCTGGGCTCTTCGCCTGCTGCATTCCATGCCCGCGTCTTACCCAAGTGCATGCGGACATTCGCGCGTTCCCATAGCGCCCCCCCAAGAGCCTCGAAGATAGGGCCGGCTCGCTCAGGCTCACTCGTGACGTAAACGTCATCGAGGTAGGCATACAGGTCCTCCTCTGGGCCCAGGGCAGTGTGCGCTTGCAGCAGGGCAGCGTGCTGCCCAAGAGCGCACAGCGCCGGCATGAGCGGGTCGCCTTGCTCGCCGCCCTCGCCCTGACGGATCTCATGCACGGCCCCTTGCGCATCGTAGAAGACATAGGTGCTGGGCTCGGCATAGAACTGCGCGACAAAAGGGAACAACCCGCGCGAGCCTACAAAACATACTAAAACGACGCGCGCGCGCGCGCGCGCTCTGAAACGCTCCCGCGTATTGTTGTGCGAGGGTGCGCGCCACCACCCTGCGAAAGGCGTCACTCATGACCAAACCGCGGACTCCACCATCCGGCTTTTGCAACGCCACAATTTTGCCGAGCCGTATGCCGGCTAAGACCAGTGGTGGCAGCGCTGCGTTGGCGATTTGCCCCGCCGCCCACATCAACAAGTCTGCGCTGTCCTCATCGTTTGTCAAAACTCGGAGGTGCTCAGCAGTGCAGCCTGATGGGCCCGCGGCGCCCGCCGCGAACGTGGGATGCCGTGATCCTCAGTGCCCAAGCAATGAGCCAGGCGACCACTTGCCCGAGCCCAGCGCGCGCGGCTGGCAGGCGCCAGCTGCGGCCGCAGTCGCCGCGCATCTCCAGACAGAGCTTTTGGCTCAGTTGGATGTGCCTTCGCAGGCCCTTCTGTTTTCCCAGACTGGCCCATTCAGCAGTCGCCCTTTCACCACTGTTCCGACCTGCCTTGAGCTCACCTTCCCCTCCGAACCCTTGCGTGTTCTTCTGCTGCGGCGCCTCCGCCTCCCCCTGCCCCTGTCCGCACCTTTTGACCCTCTTGGCGACCACCGTGCAGCGTGCTCGCGGTCTGGTGCACTCCGGAGTCGAGGCTGCCCGCTCGAGCGTGCAGCAGCCCGCGTGTGCTGCGAGGCCGGGGCTCGAGTGACCACGAACACCCTTGTCCGTGACCTCAATGTGGCTGTCTCTCCCTTTGATGACCGTCGCATCGAGGTCATCGCCAACGGCCTCCCTTTGTGGAATGGGGCCCAGCTCGCGGTTGACATGTCTCCGCTCACCCCTTCTTGAGGCCCGCGCCGCAAGGAAGCAACCTATCCCGAGCTTCTTGCCAGCGCCCGCTGCCGCCTGGTTGTGATTGGTGTAGAGGTCGGAGGCCGCTGGGGGTCAGAGGCCGCCTCTTTTCTCCGCCTCCCGGAGGCCCTTCGCCCTGCCCTTCGAAGTGCTTATGTCCACCGATGGTCTGGCTTGTTGTGCGCTGCAGCTTCGCTCGCCTTCGCTGACAGCCTCACTTCCTTGCCCTCCCCTGGCCTGAGCAACCTTGATGGGCCTTGCCCGGGCTTGAGTGACCTTCTCGCTGCGTGCCCATCTTCCCCTGGGGCGCGGCTGCCGGCCCGGTAGCCGTCGTGTGCATGCGAGGACGCTGCCCTCCGTAAAAACAGCGTGCAGGTGAGGAAGCTGGCCTCCGAAAAAAAGTTTGCAGAACCCTGGTGCCCGGGGCCCCCTTAATTGCGACAGAAACGCTGCGGAAAAAGGCGCGAGAAAAAAAAGAGAGAGAAACACACAGAAAAAAACAAAGTCCCCCGCATCGTTCATGCCGAAGACATTCATCTACTCCCGGCCTTTGTGTTGGACAACAGTCAATTTTGAAAGCCATGATGAAGTAGAGTAGATCGTGGCGTTGGCGCTGCGAAGGCTTTTGAGGTTTGACGAATGCTCTAGTAGTTGTGGTGTAATGCTACGCGCGGTGGCGTTGCAGCGATAGCCCAAGAGCTTATCGTCATGTTGCGTCTCGAATAAGCATGGCGGCCCATAAAACCCCAAAGACATGAACCGGTGGACGTACGGTGAAACCGGGCGAGGATGCTGGATCAATATTAAATCGGTTATCAACATAGCCTAGCGTTGATGCAAAACTAGGCCGAAGCGATGAATGTTGGTTTGGAGAGTTTGCATCGTGTGACGCCAGAAGTAGGCCTCCACCGTGGCATAGGGGCGGGGCTGCTGGCGGAACAGAAATCCATTGACCTCCAGGTGCTGGCTCATTCGTCGAGGAACTCGTCCACGTCACCTACAAGATCAAGCTCTGCAAGCTCTTCGCCAGATCTATCCGGACAAGGGAGAAAAAAAAGGATTTGAAGCTCATCAGTTACCGGAATTGAAATCAAGCCTGTCTTGCATCAACTGTGCTTACTGCATTCAGTAGCATGTTGCATTGTGATCGATCACTGTTGCTGTGGTTGGGTTGCTTTCATTTGTGGAAGGCAAGTTCACCCCGGAAACTTTTGCTGCAATCAAACAAGAGCATCTTGCCACGCATGTCGGCCTAAATGCCACCTGCCTCCTCTTTCTTCGCCGTGGCCTTCCTCCAGCAGTGACGCATTCACAGACACGGTCTTGCTCGGCTACATCCAGGAGAGCCGTTGGACAGCGTATCATGCTGACACCGGCCTCCGCATCTCGTGCACACCAACGTGAACACCATGATGATGAACGCGGTGATCCTGGACAATTTCGACATCCAGCTGGTCGCCCTGAACATGCTGCTGAAGCACCCATCAATGCCCCTTTCGATGTTTACAACCCGTTTGCAAAGCGGGACAACACTGGTTTTGTCTTAATTCCAACTACTGGATATATGAGTCGGTTATCAGTGTAGGGAACACTCGCTTTTATGTGCCGCCGAGCATTCTAGCGCTGGGGATCCCTCGAGGAAAAAAAGTGGGAAACCATGTGTCGCAGCCTCCTCAAAGTACGTCAGGCCATTTGCTTGGACCGGCATTGTATTCCGGCGGCCACCAAACGTTCTCCGCTTCGACAACCTGTCCCGCATGATGGTGACTGGGCCCGCCGGATTCATGACATTATACTGACCACACTTCGCACGGAG